GCTCTGGCTCACTCAGGCCGGGGGGAGGGAGGGGCACGGAGTGCCGGAAGGTCCTGCGGCGGCAGAGAGTGGCGTGACGTTGCACCAGCGTGAGGCGCGCCGTACGTTCTCCCGGGGAAGTTGTCCCTGGATTCCGGGAACCTGGCAGTGGCGGGCTGCCCAGGCTCCCCGGAAGGGGTGTGTGGAGAGTGACCTGTGCTCGCACACAGGCTTCTTGGCGGCAGCAGCAGCCTTAGCGTCTCATGCCCGTCTCTGGGGTCCGTGCTTTTAGCTGCAGCTTGTGCCCGTCTCTGGAGCTCCTTTAAGCAGTGCTCTTAATCCCCTCTCCTCTCGCACCAGGAAACAAAGAGGCAAGAAAATGTCTCTTGCCTCTTCGGCAGCTCCAGACCTTTTCCTGGACTCCCTACCGGCTAGCCGTGTCGCACTAACCCCCTTCAGGCTGTGTTCACGCAGCCAACCCCAGTCCTCTCCCTGCGCTCCGACCGTAGCCTGAGCCTCAGCTCGCAGCCCCGCCCGCCCCAGCGGGTGAGCAGACAAGCCTCTCCGGCTGGCGAGTGCTGGTTGGCACCGATTCTCTGTGCGGGAATCTCTCCACTTTGCCCTCCTCACCCCTGTTGCTGGGCTCTCCTCCACGGCTCCGAAGCTCCCCGCCTCCGCCACCCGCAGTCTCCGCCCGCGAAGGGGCTTCCTAGTGTGTGGAAACCTTTCCTCCTTCACAGCTCCCTCCCACTGGTGCAGGTCCCGTCCCTATTCTTTTGTCTCTGTTTTTTCTTTTGCCCTACCCAGGTATGTGGGGAGTTTCTTGCCTTTTGGGAGGTCTGAGGTCTTCTGCCAGCGTTCAGTAGGTGTTCTGTAGGAGTTGTTCCACGTGTAGATGTATTTCTGGTGTATTTGTGGGGAGGAAGGTGATCTCCGCGTCTTACTCTTCCGCCATATTCCGCTCGTCCCGTCCGCACCGTGCAGTCCACGTCGCATTGGCAAAGTCAGCCGGCTGCTCCGTCTAAACCCCGTCTGGCTTCCCTGAGGCCTTGGTGGAAGGTGTGACGACCCCAGCATGTCTGTCCTAGGCCAAGAGGTGGAGACGGCCTTCCCCTCACCCCGCCGCTCTCTGCTGGGCTCTGCAGAGCCGCGTGTACCCGGGGCAGCACACCCTCCCCTGTGGTCGCCAGTTTTTAGTTTTGATGAATCCATTTTATCTATTTTTTTCCTTTCGTTGTTTGTGCTATTGGTATCATAATTACCATTGCCAAATCCGAGGTCACAAAGGTTTAGGCTATCTTTTCTTCTTTCTTCTAAGAGTTTTATGTTTTTAGCGCTCTCATTTAGGTCTTTGATCCATTTGGGGTGCTAATCTTGACCTTGTCCCTTACTTTGTGACCTCAGACTGTTCATTTGCCTTTTTCAGCCTCACTTATTTCATCTGTTAAAATAAAAGTTGATATGTGAGTGCACAAAACAACAACAGAAAACAGACCAGTGGTTGCCACAGCTGGGAGTTGTGAGCAGGGTATTGACCACAAAGATGAGAGAACTTTTGGGGGTGATGAAAATACTTTGTATCTTAATTGTGGTGATGTTTGTACAACTATATACATTTTTCAGGGCTCATAGAACTGGATACCTAAAAGGAGTAAATTTTACTGTACATATGTTATACCTCAGTAAACCTAGCTTTAAAAAAAAACAACACAAAAGCCTTACAACAACTCTACAAAGTATGTGTTATTCTTTTCCATTTTGAGGCTAGAGGAAACTGATACTTAGGAAAGTTAGTGGACTTGCCTATGGTCCCACATTTGGTATGTGGCAGTTCTAGGATTTTAACCTAAATCTGCCTGATTATAGAGCTTGTGATCTTCCTACTCATTTTTAGCCTGTCCCTGACAGTGTGTGGATTCTATTGTAAAAGGCTAACCTTCTCGTGGAAGCCAGGAACCCTGTCTGCCTGTGAGCCACTCCCCAGAAGTAGCTGTCTTATTCTTATTCCAAATTCTGAACCCCTGGCAGATCTCATTTCTGCCAGTCATTAATTGAGATTGGAATCCATGCTGTTGTGGAGTGCTACTCAGGCATGGTCTCCTGAGACTGTGGCCCTCATTTTGGAGCATCAGGAGACCAGTTTCAAAACTGATGAGTTTCTTTGGTTATGAAAAGCAGTTTCTAACTTTGTCCAATGAGCAACACAGAGTACCTTCTCCGTAGGAGAGTGCTCGGATGTTTACAGGGCCCGTTGTGCTGCTTAGCACAGCCTTCCTTACTCTGGCTTATTTAGCAGAGAACCGGTCGGGTGGAAGAGAGATCCAAGGCAATCACCGTCATCATTTACATCTGCATGCCACTTTATAGTTTGCAGTGTATTTTAACATCTGTGAACTCTCTTAATTTTCTTAGCACCTTGCCAGGAGAGTGCTTATATTTAGAGAGAGTATATTCTTGGATAACTCTGGCTGCGTGTCTTTTCCTTAAATTGTGCTGGAATGTGTATATCTCCTGTAACTTTTATCCTCGAATTGTTCTAGTTTCAGTTTGTCACCTGGTGGTAGTTTCATCTAGCCTCTTGCCCTGGGATGATTTGGCAGCACTGCGCATTGGGTACATTTCAAGTTCTATCCTCTGAATTTGACCAACATCATTTCCTTTTTTGTCTGTTTGACTGCCCCACCTTCCTCTCTTTGGGAACCCATCTTTCCTCCACCTCTCATTCCAGAACCCTGGACAGAGTAATTAATCTCAGAGCAATCGTCATCAAGCCAGCTGTTGACTTTAACAGCCTGTCTTCAATGTTTGACTTGTTTCCTATCCTGAGGTGCTATGAGAGAAGTTAATGACCTAAAAAATTGCCCATCTATCATGTGAGCCTAGTTAGGAGGGAATTGTTTGATTTTTTATGACGTGTAAATAATAGTTCGGAGACATTTTCAAACATGTGTTGGCCTGTGTGTCAGAGCTGGTTCCCTAAACAAGGTGGGACAAATTGGCTGGGTAATAGAGCTTAATGACAGATTTTCCATTAATCAGAATGGAGACCGTGCTTTATTAAGATAATTAACAGATCACTTGTGCCGGTGATACTTATTGCACAGAAATTTCCAAGTTTCTTTCCCTTGAATAAGCTTTGAAAGAGATCTTGGCTATGTTTCCTTGTTTGCATTAAAATGATCAATGGCAGTAAATTCCCGTTTTTTTCCAAAACTGCTAGTAACTAGTATCCTGTCCTCTGTAAGTGCAAAAGGTGGGTGACACACTTGCTGCTCTTCCAGCAGTCTGTGTGTTTATCACCAGGTACTCGGGCTCCCCTGGTGAGGAGTAGAATTGCATCCTTTCCCAGCTCCTAGACTAGCATCCTTAGAATTAGAAAGGGCCTCAGAGAGCCTAAAGTAATTGATTTTACATCAGGACACTGAAGCCCAGAGAGGGGGTGGGACTTGGCCAATGCCACACAGTACACTCATGGTAGAGGCATCTGTGGGATAGTGGGACTAGTACTGAACTGAGAATCAAAAGGCCGGGGTTGACATTAGGCAAATTGTGTCACCTCTCTGCCTCTCAGTATCTTCATGTGTACAATGGGAAAAGTGTCTAGCATAGGGCCAAATACAAACAAATGGCTTTTTTGTAGTCCTCTTTCTACTGTACCATGTTGCTTCTCTATGAGTGTAACCTGAAGATTATAGATCAGAAGTTGTCAGGGAGAATGAGCAATCATTAATCAATGCTGTTTTTTGTTTGTTTGTTTGTGTCTCCGTAGGATTCTCAGTTGTCCACAATGAACCCTGTTTATAGCCCCGTGCAGCCTGGGGCTCCTTATGGCAACCCTAAGAACATGGCCTACACAGGTGAGTGGTGTGTGAATGGCTCTCATTTTGAGAAGTGGTGGTTAAGGATGTTATCTCATAACATTTTGAATGACTTTTGGTATACTGTGCCTCCAAAAGCCCTAGTAAAGCTTGGGAACTTGTAGAAGGGAGACATGTCTGGGGTCTAGTGCAGATGGAAATGACATTCTTAAGACCATGGTCTGTTGAATTGCCAACTAGGAGAAAGGAAGGGAGGTAACATTTATTTATCACTGAGTACCTACCATGGGCCTAGCCCTGCGCTGGGCACTTTTATATATCATGTTTAACTTTAATCTTAGAAGTAGTTGTACAGGGTGTGGTTTATTATCACCATTGCACAGATGAGAAACTACAGTTTCAGTAAGAGGCCACAAACAAAAATAGATATTTGAACCCAGGTCTGCTGATTCTGAAGGCTGATCTTTTTCCTGACTGCATACCATGCTGTTTCCTACTGCACTGCCTTTGTGTATGTTGTCCCTCTGTCTAGTATGCCATTGTCCCCTGACAACTTCACCTTATCCTTTAAGATCTCAGCTCTGAGCTCAGACAGCACTTTTCCAAGGAGAATTCTCTCCCTTACTTGGCCTTGGGCAAGCTTTTTTTTTTAATTAATTAATGTATTTATTGATTTTGGGCTGCGTTGGGTCTTTGTTGCTGCGTGCGGGCTTTCTCTAGGTGCGGTGAGCGGGGGCTACTCTTTGTTGCGGTGCGCAGGCTTCTTATTCGGTGGCTTTCTCTTGTTGCGGAGCACAGGCTCTAGGCACGCGGGCTTCACTAGTTGTGGCTTGCGGGCTCTAGAGCACAGGCTCAGTAGTTGTGGCACACAGACTTAGTTGCTATGGGGCATGTGGGATCTTCCCGGACCAGGGCTCAATCCTGTGTCACCTGCATTGACAGGCGGATTCTTAAAGCTCTTTCAGATAATTGCTAGATGACTTTGGACAAGTTGCTTAGCCTCCCTGAATTTAAATTTATTTTATAAATTGAGATCATATTATCTATTTCACAGGATAGTTATGAGAATTAAATGAGATAATTAGTACTCCATAGGGAGAGAGGGAAGATTGTCTTTGTTTCTACTAATCAGTGAAGATCAGTATCAGCCTGGAACTATGGGGTTTTTTGGCTGAGTTGAGTCTTCGTTTCTACGCTCAGGCTTTCTCTAGTTGCGGCGAGCAGGAACTACTCTTCGTTATGGTGCATGGGCTTCTCATTGCGGTGCTTCTCTTGTTGTGGAGCATGGGCTCTAGGTGCGCGGCTTTCAGTAGCTGCAGCATGTGGGCTCAGTAGTGGTGGCTCGCGGGCTTAGTTGCTCTGCTGCATGTGGGATCTTCCCAGACCAGGGATGGAACCTGCGTCCCCTGCATTGGCAGGCGCATTTTTAACCACTGTGCCACCAGGAAAGTCCCTGGAACTATGTTTTCAGTTAATTTTTCTGCTGGGATTCTAAGACTACACAGATAGTATAAACTCCACATAAGTAGAATACATTCAAACTTCACACAGGCCAAGGTTTCAAATTCTTCAGGAAACTTTCTTTTTTACCCTTAGCTTCCTGTTGTCTCTGTACTTTTCAGACAAATTTTTTTTCTTTTAAACTGACTTATGACTTCTCTAAATTCTCAGCTTTATGCAGGGGAATTTGAGTTCCAGCTCTTGGCTTCTCCAAGGCCCAGAGCCTCATCTCCCATCCCCTCCATAGCTATGAAAAGCAAGCCCTTTGATTGCCCAGACCGAAAAACCTTCCCAGAGCATCCCAGTATCAGTTCACTGTGAGAGTTCCTGATTTTTCATTTCATTTTTTGACCCTGGAGATTTTTTCTTTCCTAAAATCTCAAGTCTGCCTGTGTTTGTTATATAACATAAACTGTTTGCTATACTTTTTATCCAGCTTTTCTAAGTGTTACGGAGTAGGCAGATTTTCAGGTTATCTTTTCCTCCACATTGCAAGAAATAAAGATCCAAGTGAGATAATCTGTAAGCAAATGCCAAATACAATGCTTTAGAGTAAACATTTGTTATTATTGTTAGTAACAATAATGGTTATGTTAAAGAGTGTTAATTACCATTTGGCAAGCACATACTAGGTACTTTATATATGTTAATTATAATCTTATTAATCATAAACCCCATAGTACTCTTCTTTTAGCTAGGTAACTGGTAGTTTAATTCAGGTTGTATTACTTGGCCAGTATATGTAGCTTCTGAAGGATGAAGAAAGATTTGAACTCGGATCTTTATGATATCAAAGTGATATGCTTTCTGTTATAGCAAGCTGATTTGTCTTAAAATATGTGCTTCTTTCACTGCTTCCAGTGATAAGCTAGGGGAGAGGGTTTTCTTTTCAGTTTCTAGGACTAGGGAGCCTCACCTTTGAGGAGCTAGGAGCCTGCTCCTGGCCAGCAATTTGGGGTAGACTGGGAAGGGGGCACTAGAAGTGGAGGGTCAAGTCCATTGTGCTGTCATGTGCTTCAGGGGTAATGGGGTGGTGGACACAGGGAATAGAGAAGTTGGGAAAATTCCTGATTTTAAATTCTCTCTGAAATGTAAGAGGGAAATAAAATACAGCTTTGCAGTTATAATTCTGACACTAATTCCAATGTGCGGGTTCTTTCCGCACACCAAGCTGTTCTCTGACACCAGCTGGGTGTCCTACAGTTCAACTCAATTCTGACACTGTCTACCTGGAGATAACGTCATTTCAGAGGTTGAGAGCTCAGCCCCGCAAAACTGTCCTCATTTCGGATGCCAATCACAAGTCCAGGTTGTGACCTGTGCTTCTGACTGATTGGCTATAAATCAGAGGTTCCCATAACCCCCCTCCTTGGGTTCAATTACTTTGCCAGAGCAGCTCATAGAACTTAGGAAACCAGTTTACTCACTAGATTATTGGTTTATTATAAAAGGATGTAGCTCAAGAACAGGCAGATGGAAGAGATGCATAGGGCAATGTATGCAGAAAGGAATGTGGATCCTCTAGAGCAGGGGTCTCCAACCCCCGGGCCATGGACAACTACAGGTCCAGGCCTGTTAGGAACCGGGCCTCACAGCAGGAGGTGAGTTGCAGGCCAGCGAGCAAAAGCTTCATCTGTCACTCCCCATAGCTCACATTAACGCCTGAACCATCCCCCACATTGCTCTCATTACCGCCTGAACACCCCACCCCCCGTCCGTGGAAAAATTGTCTTCCATGAAACTTGTCCCTCATGCCGAAAAGGTTGGGGACGGCTGCTCTAGAGGGTGCCACTCTCCCAGCACCTCCACATGTTCACCAACCTAGAAGCTCTCGTCCTTTTTGGTTTTTATGTTGGCTTCAGTACATAGGTATGGTTGGCCATTGCTGATTGATTCAACTTGCAGCCCCTCTCCTCTCCCCAGAGGTCAAGAGGAGGGGTGGGACTGAAAGTTTCAGATCTTCAATAACATGCTTGGTCTCCTTGGCAACTAGCCCCCATCCTTAGGTGCTTTCCAAAAGTTACCTTATTAACATAAACTCGGGTGTGGTTGAAAGGGGTTTGTCATGAATATCAAGACATCCTTTGGGAAGTCCCTGGCAGTCAAGTGGTTAGGACTCTGCACTTCCAATGCAGGGGCAGGGGTTTGATCCCTGGTCAGGCCGTAGGATCCTGCATACCATGCAGCGTGGACAAAACAACAACAACAACAAAAAGATATCTTTATTGCTCTTACCACTTAGGAAATTTCAAGGGTTTTTAGGACCCCTGTGCCAGGAACAGGGATGAAGACCAAATATATACTTATTATGTCACAATATCACAGCAATACAATGTATTCCAATGAACAGTTGTCTTCTAGCCAATTGACAGCGTTCTCTCTCTCTCCTTTTAAAAGCTCTTTTACTGAGCACTTACTGTGTGCCAAAAATTGAGCTCAGTGTTTTACAGACTATTTATTTATTTATTATGTATTTATTTATTTATTTATTTATTGTGGTACACAGGCCTCTCACTGCTGTGGCCTCTCCTGTTGCGGAGCACAGGCTCCAGACGCGCAGGCTCAGCAGCCATGGCTCATGGGCCTAGCAGCTCCGCAGCATGTGGGATCTTCCCGGACTGGGGCACAAACCCTTGTCCCCTGCATCGGCAGGCAGACTCTCAACCACTGCGCCACCAGAGAAGCCCCAGACTATTTATTTTTATACTTGCAGTAATCCTATGAAGTGGTTATAACTAGCTCCTTGAACACCTTGGAAAAGTGAATTTAGAGAATATAATCTGTTCATATACTTTCAAATAACTGAATGTGTAGATAGAGTTGTAGAATGAATGTTTATGTCCCCCCAGATTCATATGTTGAAGCTCTAACCCGCAATGTCATAGTATTTGGAGATGGGGCCTTTGGGAGATAATTAGGTTTAGATGAGGTCATGAGGGTGGGGCCTTCGTAGTGGGATTAGTATGCTTATAAGAAGAGGAGGAGATACCAGAGTTTTCTCTCTGCCTGGGAGGACACAGGAAGAAGGCTGCCATCAGCAAACCAGGAAGAGAGAGTCCTCACTATAACTCAACCAGGCTGGCACCCTGATCACATACTTCCAGCCTCCAGAATTGTGAGAAAGAAATTTCTGTTGTTTAAGCCACCCAGTCTATGGTATTTTGTTGTGGCAGCTCTAGCTGCCAATAAAGATAGTACAGTGAACACTTGAATATGCTTCACATAGATTCACCATGACAATGGGCTTTTTACAGACTGGACATTTCTTTTTCTGAAAGGCCTCAGAAATGTTTCTCTGCTAGAAGTTTGAAATGAAGTCAAGACCAAAACATTCTCTATTTTTCTTTTCTTTCTTAAAATATTCTAATAGTGAGAGTGTCCAAGGATCACCAGAGGTCTGGTATATGTGCTGAAGAGAGGACAGGTTTTGGAACCTATCAGATCTGGAGTAGAATCTAGGCTCTGCCACTAATTAGCTGCGTGAGCTTGAGTGAGTTATTTAACCTTTCTGAATCTCAGTTTCCTCAACTGTGAAATGG